GGGAAGTTCATTATCCCAGTATCATTAACCCAGTAACAAGTTACACAGTCACTACACTTTACAATATATCCTGTGTCCTGTAGTCAACAACAAGAACAACCACAACAACAACAAAATTACATTTGTAAAGCACCTTTCACATCAGGAGGACGTCCCAAGGCGCCAGACAGACAGAGTTACGGACCCAAACTGGGGGTTGCGGTGGGGGAGGGTGGAGAGCAGGGGGGGAAAGCGGGGAGATCGAAAGCACGGTCGAAGAGGAGGGTCTTGAGAAGGGTCTTGAAAGTGGCAAGGGAGGGGGCGAGGTGGAGGGACTGCGGGAAGGAGTTCCAGAGGGTGGGTCAAGCACTCTATTTGCATTATCATGGCTTTGTCCACCTCCACTGCTATTTTTAGAGTCTTGTGAATCTAAGTCACTAGACCTTTTTGTTCCCTGACCACTCTCAGGTTCTTCCCCTCCAGAGTATAGTCAGCTTCTTTATTCTTCACTTCACATTTCCCGATGTTAAATGTCATCATGTGGTGAAACTGATGTCCAAACAAACCTTGTGTTGCAATTCTTCAGTATGCTGTTCAAGTGGGGGAAAAAATTAATGCCAAGAGTTATATCTACCTCTAAATGTAGACAACCTTCAATGCTTTTCGATAGGAAGAAACTTTGGAAGGTCTTGTAAGAAACTGTGCCAGGTTGAGAAATGATTCTAAGAGATGTGAGGAAAGGCTAAAGGTTGAAAAATGTTTGATTTTAAGAAAAAGTCTAAGGATTTCAGGGACTGGTTCTAAGAAAGATACTGGATCAATGTTTTCAAGGTCTGTACTGCCTGGAGTTGAATACCCGACACAGACTCAAAAATATTCAAAGCGAGAGTACAGTAAACGGAACTAATTCAGGATCATTTCGTTTAATTCTTATGTTGACTCAAGGTTAATTTCCTTATGCCAATATAATAGTGTGGCAGATGGAAGTTGATACTGAGAGATTTTTGAAAAATAACTCTAGCACTTGTATCATCCGCTGAGTACTAGAACCACACTGATGATTGGTAAACTATATGGAAGGCATGCAAAACTCTTTCTGCAGAGACCTCCTCCTACACTGTTAAGAAAATGAATATATGTTGTCTTGTGTTAGATAATAATAATAATCTTTATGTTTTATATAGTGCCTTTGATAGAATCATAGAATATTACAGCACAGAAGGAGGCCATTCGGCCCATCATGCCTGTGTTGGCCCTTTGGAAGAGCTACCCAATCAGTCCCACTCCCCCGCACTTTCCCCATATCCTTGCCAATCTTTCCTCTTCAAGTACCTATCTAATTCCCTTTTGAAAGTTGTTATTAAATCTTTTTCCACCACACTTTCAGGCTGTGCATTCTGTGTAAAAAAAAATTCTTCTCATCTCTCCTCTAGTCCTTTTGCCAATTATCGTGAATCTATGTCCTTGGGTACCAACCCACCTGCCAGTGGAAACAATTTCTCCTCATCTACTCTATCAAAACCCTCCATAATTTTGAACACCTATTAAATTTCCTCTCAACCTTCTCTGCTCTAAAGAGAACGATCCCAACTTCTCTAGTCTCTCCACATAACGCTAAAATCCCTCATCCATGGTACTATTCTGGTAAATCTCTGCACCTTCTCCAAGGCCTTGATATCCTTCCTAAAGTGTGGTGCCCAGCACTGGACAAAATACTCCAGCTGAGGCCTAACCAGTGTCTTATAAGCATTTAGCAGAACTTCCTTGTTTTTGTCCTCTATGCCTCTATTTATAAAGCCAAGGATCCCATATCCTTTTTCTAACAGTTCTATCAACCTGCCACCTACAAAGACCTGTGAATGTGAACCCCTAGGTCTCTGCTTCTGAGCCCCCTTTAAAACTACAATGTAGTGTATATTGCCTCTCCTCATTCTTCCTTCCAAAAGTGCATCACCTCACCCTTCTCTTCATTAAACTTCATCTGCCATGTGTTTGTCTATTTTGCCAGTCTGCCCATATCCTCCTGCAGTCTGCTACCATCCTCCTCACTGTTTGTGTCATCTGCAAACTTTAAAATGTTTCTCAATACCCAAGTCCAAGTCATTTATGTAAAACAAAAAAAGCAGTGGACCTAATACCGACTCCTGGAGGACACCACTGTATACTTCCCTCCAGTCTGAAAAATAAACTATTCATCCCTACCCTCTGCTTTCTGTCTCCCAGCCAATTTTGTATCCATGCTGCCACTGTCCCTTTTATCCCATGGGCTTCAATTTTGCTAATTAGTCTATCATGCGGCTCTTTAGCAAATGCTTTCTGAACGTCTTTCAACACTACATCAACTGCAATGAATTTGGGTTTGAAAAAACGGAGTCGTTTATTTCGGTGAAAATATGCAAGTGGTGGGAAATTCTGTCAGACATGAGAAAAGCAATGTTATTTACAAAAAAATTCTATTAGTCTCTAATTTTGTAATCAACTCTTCCTTCTTTTCTTCAATTTCCCATTTTTCTTTCCTTTCTTTTTCACCATTTCTCTCTTTTTGCAGCTATAAAGCAGCAATTTTGTAACTGCACCACCACCTGCAGTCTTGGAAGAATGCTGGTTCCATGCCTCGGGATCTAAAGCATTCGTATTACATTTTTGCAGCATACAGAACACAATACAATAGTTCATATAAATGCAGAGATGAAAGAGTGGAAATACATACATGTATAATTACTGGAATTTTAAGTGTTCAAGGAGAAAACTGAAGGCATACAAAATTTAGATGCCACTATGATGCAGTTCATAGCACTTTTGCCACTGAGTCAGAAGGTTGTTGGTTCTAAGCCCCATGTCGACGCTTTGTCAATGCTGATGCTAGAATGTAATACTTTGGATAACACTACTGTTGGAGGAGATATTACACTGAGGTCTTGACTGTCTATTTGGAAGTAGAAAGGCGTTTATCCCGATGTCCTGGTCAACAATCCCTCTGATAAAAATAGTCATTGACTACGTGGCTGCTTTTGGGAACATTTCTGGGCATAATTTGGCTGCTGTGTTTGCCTATAAAATGCTTTACTTTGAAGCAAATGCAAGGATTATTTTTTTCACAATTAATAGTAATAAGCCAAATGTTATAGAATCAGAGAAAGTTTAAGAGCACAGAAGGAGTTCATTCAAAGCATTGTGTCTGTACTTGTGTTAGCTCACTCTGAAGCTACCATCTCTACTCTGTATCCATACCATCTCTGGTTTCTTCCTTTTCCCCCAGGAACCTTTAATATTGTTTTTCCTCAGATATATGTCCAATTCATTTTTAAATGATGTTATAGACAAGGCTCCAATGATCATTTGTGGTAACGTCATTCCACTGTCTCACAATCTTCTGTGTTAAAAATATGTATATTCTAACTGCTAAAAACTGAAAACTTTGTTCGTTGATAGCTGAGAAGATGGTATTATATACTATGGAATGAGTATGTGGACTAGATAGGTTCCAGCTTCAATCCTTGACAACAATAACTTACACTTATATAGAGCACAGTCATGTGGGGTAGTGCCTTGGAGCACTAGTCTCTCTTGAATGAACAAATCTCTAATTAAATAGCCTATGATCCCTGTACAGTTAACTCATGATGAATAGTCATCCAGGCAAAGTATCAGAGGAACACTGCCATATTATGCTCCAAAATTAATTGAAGAGAAAAATTAGAAAAAAACTTTAATGAAAGAATTTTACAGTTGGACTCAAGTGGGTGTAAGCCACAAAATCTGACATAATGTTGATACCGGAATGAGATCTGACTTGGAACCTATTCAAAATTGGTTCAATTATGGTCACTTTTATCATGCATGATCTATAATCCTATACAATTATAATTCCACTGTTTGTGTCAACACAATCATAGGTAATGAATTATACTGTATCTATGCTTAATGTTGCGGCATGCAGCAATTGAATTGCCGCATCTAAGTTCAGTGGCATTTAGCTCTTACAATTAGGTGTCCCTAGGCCCTTTTAGGAGTCTTGTAGCTCAGTGGTTAGAGCACTCGCCTCCCAAGTGAGAGACCTGGGTTTGATTACCGGCAGGGCGAAACCTTGGGCAAGTTTCCTTACTCCACATGCCTGATAATAATCCCTCAAGAAAAAAGATTATAATAATAAGTATTTGGTCACTCAATCCATGACTGTTTGTGGGACACTACTGTGCGCAATTGGCTGCCACGCCTAACCCTCAAATATACAGTCAATTCACTATACAGTACATTCTGCAAAGCGCTTTGAGATGTCTAGAAGACTTAAAAAGCGCTGTATCAAATGCAATGATTGTTATGATTATTATTATAAAGGTCTAACATTTACACATTCTGTCAGCCTTGCTGAGATTTGAGTGGTCTTGCTTGACTCACTGTCTGGTCATTACTGGAAAAAATACGATGGAGAACATTTCCCTCCACTGCCTCGCGATTTAGCATGTCAACGGAATTCACTACTAGAACCTCAGCTCTTGCAGCTGGGAACTGTACTTTGGAACAATAATAATCACAACAACTTGCATAGCACCTTTCCCGTAGGATGAAAATGTTCTGAATACACACTATTTTGATTATAGCAACATGTTCTGAATGATACAAGCAGGTTGGCAATCCATCAGCAGTGCAGAGTGGTGAATTTGAATACATGGTAGTCAAGGAGATTTCATCGAGTCAGGCAACATCAAGTGAGAACCCAAGATACAATCGTAGAGCCAACTTCACTTAACCATTTGAAGGAAGGAGATCTATATTGACACTTGTAGATCACAATATTACCAAGCTCCTAACAAGATTTAAAGATCTTGCCTCAGTACAGATATCCGAAACAGACCCACATAAGCATAATTGCTTATGAATACCAAGTCTTTGCTTGAATACAGGAGATCTGGAAGAAAGACACTGAAAAGGAACATGACGGTTGTGTGAGGAGTAAACACTCGACATCAACCTGCAGCAGACTGCAAGAGGGACAGAAAAAGCTACTGAATTACACATACCATTGGCCTGCCCACCTATACATCTGGAACCCCACAGTCTTGGCAACATGCTGGACGAACTGCAGGAGAAAGGGAGAAAAAAACTTACTCCACATATACTGAACATGCCCAGTAATAAAACAATTCTGGGACACGATCCAAAAAAAATTTAAGTTAGCACCCACATTAAAACAGAACTACACTGTCTCCTTGGCTTCCATGTAGCATTGCTAATTTTGTTCAGAACCAACCACTCAACTGCAAAGTACAATTACAACAACAACTTTCATTTATACAGAGTCCTTCATGCAGGATAATGCCTCGGAATGCTGTACAATGATGAGGTTGGATACCAAGCAAAGGAAAAGGGAGAGGGGAAGGGAGAGTTGATTATAAGCGTGGTCGAAAATGTATGTTTTAGGCTGGATTTAAAGACAGCTAGAGAAATGGGTGAGATGGAGGGGTAGAAGGAGGGAGTTCCAGAGGTTAGGGACATAATGACTGAAGGCTTGACCACTGATGGTGGCACATAGGGAATGGAAAATGTGCAGTAAAACCGAGTTAGTCGAGCAGAGGGTTCAAGCTGAGAAGTGGGGTAGGAGATGATCTCAGAGATATGGAGATGCATAAGATTTAAAGGTAAGGATGAGAACTTTGAAATTGATCTGGTGGTAGTGAGAGAGCCAGTGGAGCCTGGCAAGCACTGATGGGTGTGCAGAGTTTTGTGCAGGTAAAGATGCGGTGGTTGAGTTTGAGATAAAATGGAATTTATGGATGAGCTAGGGAGACCAGCAACACATTTTGTGTACTGGTTGGAGGCAGAGGATAAAGTCTCGCATTCCCCAGTGCCATAGGTGGAGCGATCTTTTATGAAGGCACAACAGAGTAGGATAAACGACATCTACTTCTGTGCCTAATATACCAAATATTTCTTCCAATATAGTCTCTCTTCCCAGATAGCAATAAAGACTTTGAAACTTCTGAGATACCTCAAGCGCTCTGGGACGCTACCCTGTTTGAGCAGCGCTATATAAAATGCAAGTTATTATTGTAGATAATTTAAAGACATGGGACTGATCGTGAGACACAGAAATCTCACAACAGTCTAATGTGGCTGAAAACTGGAGTCAAAATTCCCTTAGCCTTTTTTCATGGGAAAAAGAAATGGAAAATAATTGTAGAAAATAGAACAAAAATGAGGAGCAGGATCATCATATAATCAACCAAGTGCACATACAAGAGAGGCAACAGTTATCTGACTGTGATGGTCATAATACATCATACACCAACTACTGTACCTCGAGCTAGTTTAGAACACAGCTATGCACATCATGGTAGACAACATATGGATCAGTCAAAAGAGATGTCTGTACACTGTACTGTCAGCCTAGCATGCTTTTGAATGAGCATGAATGTACTACATTGAATAAGAAAGGAAAATTAAAATAAAAATATTTAAAACAACCAACTCCCATTCAGAGACAATATTGAAAAATCATCTATTCATAGCACAGGTTGTTGAATAAAAGCAAGTGCACGTCCCAATTAATTCCTCTGTGCCCTAGAGGCAATTGAATCTATGTCAAATGCCCAGATACCGGCATAAGAATAATTATGCAGCCTTTAGAAGAAGTTTAAATTAAATTATATAAGTTCCATGTGTAGGTGGCATACACAGAACAATACTTTACGATATACATTCAATTCACTTTACAATATATGCTGTAAAGCACTGATGTGATAAGATGTGATAAGGCACTATATCAAATGCAAGGATTATTATTATTATTATATTGATTAGAGCATTCGCCTCGCAAGTGAGAGACCTGGGTTCGATTCCCGGCAAGGCAAAACTTTGGGCATGTTTCCTTAATCCACATGCCTCTGTTTACTTAAAAGTAAATAGGAACCTTGCTGTTAATCGAGTGTCGGATTGCTTTCGGGGGCAATAATTCCTCCAAAAAAAATAATAAATTGGTCACTCAATCCACAACTGTTGTGGGACACTGCTTTGCGAAATTGGCTGTCGTGTTTTGCCCATAAACTAGACAGTCAATTAATACAACAACAACAACAACTTGGATTTATATAGTGCCCTCCATGCCGGACGTGTCTCAGAGCGCTTCACAGTAACGGATCCCGGGGCCGAGCCAGGGGGAGGGGGAGTAAGGTGACCAAAGGTGCGGTCGAAAAGAAAGGTCTTCAGCAGAGACCTGAAAATAGGAAGAGGCGAAGGGAGTGAGGAAGGGAGTTCCTAGAGAAATACTTCTCTAGGGTTTTGTAAAAGAAGTGCGTGTATTGAACGTGTATTCAATAAATAGATATAAATTATTAGCATGATGAGTTCAAGATTATTCAAGATTAGATCCTGTTGCATTTTGAATTCAGAAATATTGCTACTCCAAATTACACTTTTTTTCCCTAAAACACAGTAACCTCTAAAGGAATACTGAAGTACTAACTGCCAAAAGTATTGCAAACAACACTTGCAAACTTCAAAGATGACCCTTCGTGTTTCTTACTTATCTAAATGAAATCAGACAGAACATTTGCTTTATGTCAATACAATATTACTTCATTAAAACATGGGAATAATTAAGAACAAGTGGCTCTTTCAAACAAGTACTGTGATGAGGAGGATGGATGACCCTAAATGCATTTTGAAATGCTTTTGCATTCCAACAGAGCTGAACCATGGAAAACAAAAAAAAATGTACTTGCTGTCATTTGGCACCAAAATAATTTAACATCAAAACAACATTTGAAAGAGACAAAAAATCTATACTAAAAAAAAGCTTATTACACACGTTAAAATATTTACTGATTCACAATATTTTTTTCATCCAATAAACCCATACCAGAGATTTTGACCCATACCCACACCAACCACATGTTGCCAGGACATTAAATGAACTGGAGAAAATTGATAAATTGCCAGGAGAGGCACAGTGAATGGCACACCAGTACATTTTACATCAAAGCGATTGAACTAAATCCTGAAATGTTTACTGTCAGGTGTCACCCACAGAACAAATCTAATGCTTCGATGCTGATAAAAAAATGTTTATTATATTATCTATTCTTATCAAATTGGGTTAGAAAATACAATGACAGCTGCTTGTTAGAATTGGGAGAGACACGAAAAATTGTGGCATTGAAGAACTGAAAGAAACAAGATTATCAAGATTATCTCACTGAAAAGCATGGAGATGATAAAGCTCTAGCAATTGAACGATTGCACTGCAAGAGGTGTGTGCACTGAGAGCGTATGACCTAAAGGGAGTTGATGACTGTGGAGTTCAATGATTAGCAAAGAATTAGATAGGATTGGATATATAGTGGAAATGCTTATTAATGTGTGTAAGAAATAGTGGGAAAGAGAACAGTGCCATGGGAAATCATCCAGTTCAAAGAAACCAGAGTCAGAAGATGTTCAAACAACTGCAGCACAGATAGGGCATTTTGAAGGCAAAGTAGACGAGCAAAGAACGTAACTTTGGTGGAAGATTGCATGAAAACAACTTGTTTAAAAGTGCATAGTGCTGAACAAGACCACATCAAAGGCTTCGGAGATGTTCAAGACAATTACAAATGAGTCACCATGCGTTGAAGGGTTGAGTTTCAGAATTGTGTAACTAGAAAAGATTATAAGAGCTGTGGCTAAAGCAACAGTGTTTACAACAACAATAACTTGCATTTATATAACATGTAAGAATTTGGGGTAGCACTTCGGAGTGCTTAATACTATTTAGTATTTATTAATTTGAGTGAGTTGAAAGCAGCTTCAATGCTTACTGTTTGATGGGATATGATGAACACAAGCACATTTTTAAGGGGAAGTAAAGTTAGACTGGGAGTAAATGAGGCTGAAGATGTAGTAATGGGTCAATGGCAAGTTTGGAGCTATGTTGCTTGAGAACAAAAAGTAGAGGCTTTATGACTATAGGCTTTATTTAAGTCTAAAGAACAGAAGATTCAAGAGAATATAGAAACATAGAAACATAGAAACAGATAGGCCATTCAGACCCTCGACCCTTTTCCACCATTCTTTAAAATCATGGCTGATCTGTACCTCAAGTCCAATTTCCTGCCCTTGGCTCGTATCCCTTAATACCCTGACCTAACAAACTTAATGTCAATCATAATGTTTTGGTAGAAGGGAGCTATGGAGAAACGTTGCGTTGGCAAAGTCATCAAATTAAGAATTAAAGCAGAAATGTGAACCAAAATGTGAGCTTTCTCTTTAATGTCAGCATAAGGAAGAATGATGGAAAAGACAAGTTTTGAGAGCGAGCTCTGGCAAGGGATAAGTCAAAACAATTAAATACACTTGAATACCAGCAGTTTATGCAGCATTATACAGGGGAATCTAAATCATAATTGACCAGATCCATATCCCAGTGTTCATATTATAAGTGAGTTCCGAAGAAATGGGCTTTGAATTGAAAAATCTCTTTGCTTTTAAAAGACTTATATTTTCATGAAAATGTTTAGCAAGTTTTGCTTGGGAAGAGAAAATAATAATAATACTTACAATTGGTATTATAGTGCCTTTCATATCTAAAGGGCTTCTCAAAGTACTTTACAGGTTTTTACTATAAAATGGAGCGATTGTATATTTTTGCGAATGCTCAATGCCAAAAGAGCTGTGGTGAATTCTTACCATGATCATCACCTACAAGTGACCAGTTGCACAAATGTAATTTAGGTCTTCACAAACACAAAGGTAAGTCAAACACTTTTTCATCAAAATGGTGTTCCTCCACAAGGGAAAGAGTGCCATCAGACTTTTGCTCATTCCAAAGAAATAAGAGAATTAGGAAGTAATATTAAATACATTTCAGAAACCCTAAACTATGGCTCACACAGGAAGTAACATTCTGAATGAAATCCATGTTCTCTCAGTTAAAATTACCAAAATGTATTTTAAAGAAAGAACTTGCATTTGTATAGTGCTTTAGCTCACCAAAACATCTCAAATGCTTCACAAGTGATTACAATCAAGTATAGAATCATAGAATTACACAGCACAGAAGAAGGCTATTCGGCCCATTGTGTCCTTGCTGGTTCTTTGAAAGAGCTGTCCAAATTAATTCCACTCACCCGGTCTCTCCCCACAGCCCTTCAAATTGATAGAATCATAGAAGTGTAGAGTAATAACTAATTTTTGTAGGCAAACAAGGCAGCCATTTGCATCAACAAGATTCCACAAATAGTCACAAGCTGAATTACTAATTAACTTGGAGACTGTTGGTCAGGACACAGAGAGGGACAATGCCTTCTCTTTCCAAACAGTGGCATGAAAACTTTAATAACTGTCGAACAGGTACATGGACCTCGATTTGATGTATCATCTGAAATGCGGCACTTCCATCTCGTCAATAAAACTTACAAAATCTGAACTACACTATTTTATAGGATTTTAAACAATTGTTTGAGCCCATTAATACACATTTATGATGTAGTGCTATTGGCAGAGCATATCATGTCTGTACTACTTCCCTAAACTGGTGTCAAGGAAGTTCCCCAAACTACTACTTGCAGCTGTTGCTTTGGAGGCCACACCGTACTTCAAGTAGGCTGGCAAACAACACTGACCTTGTATTGACTACACCTGGATACAGACATGATGGCAGTGTTTAAATAGTAATAGTTATGTCGATTTCCTGAACCATTACTGTACCACATAATAAACAGAAAATAGAGCCACAACAGATTATTTAATGCCGATATGTGAACCAACCTGATTAATTTTATGTACTCAGAGAAATCTGTAGAAGTTGTATATGTAGGCAGAAAGGTGATAGATGCAGTTTAATTCAGAGAAGTATAACATAAATACAAAGTTACATTTGTAAAGCACCTTTCATGTCGGGAGGAGGTCCCAAGGCGCCAAACAGTCAGGGATTAGGGATAGCAGAGGTGGAGGGGTGGTGGGGATCAGGGAGGGTGGAGGGCAGAGCAGGTGGCCAAAAGCAGGGTCGAAGAGGAGGGTTTTGAGTCTTGGAGAAGTAGAAAGTTATGAGATTTGCCAGAAGCAATGGTGGTATGGAATATGTACTGAATGGAAATGTATTTTAGTTATTCGTACAAAATAGAGATTTGGGGTAAACATGTCCTCCCGACGTGAATGGCGCTAAACAAATGTAATTTTGTTGTTGTTGTTGTTACTAACACGGTAGTGTTCCAGGTAATCAAAGAAAGCAAACACAGTGTTGGAACGTACAGCTAATGTGTAAGTCGAGAGAACTGATTTTAAAATAATTATATCTAACCATGGTTAGACCACACAATTTTGCATGTTGTTTTGGACCATCTCTTTCAACATGATATTCAGTTGTTAGAGGAAGTGTAGGAAAGTTTTGGATTAATTCCAGAATTGAGGGGAGAGAGCTATGAGAAAAGTTTGGCCTTACTAGAACATTTGAGTCTAAAACAAAGACTGAGGAAAGTATTAATGAAGCCGTTTAAGATTGTGAAGCATTTGCAAAATTTTGATTTAGATAAGTTCTTCTGTCAGAGACAAAATTCAAGAGCAAGGGATCATACCTTCAAAATAAGAACAACAAAAAGAATAGGGAGTACAGTAGTTTTTAGCAACAGAGTAATAGTCGTGTGGATCAAACAATGGGTAAAGGTGGTGGAACAAGTAACTACAAAGGATTTCAAAAATGAAACAGACAAGTTCCTGTCAAATAAATGATTCAGCGTTACTAGATTAATAGATGTGTCAAGGAATCTTTCGGGGTGTTACATACACTATAATCTACTCCTCATTCAAAGTCAAAAACTGTTACTATGGTTTTCACGTTTCATGGAGTATTCATCCTAAATGTGACAAGGACTATTGTAACCACAGCTTAGTCTACTCATGTTGCCTATGTCTACTTTTGTTCTTAAACATTTTATTTCATTTAAATTAAGTCATTGGCCCATCTACTACTTCTGTACTTGCTCCCAAGTAAGCAAATCACTTGGTTTGTAAATCGCTCACAAAATACCACTTTTACAGTACATCCTGTGAATAAGTACTATATATATCGACATGATTAGGCTCTATGTCAAAGGCAAGGATAATTATAATTATAATTATTTGTTATTACTAATCACTTCTACAATTCCTAAGTTTTTTTTATTTTTACGAACAAAGATCCCCAATCATGTATTCAAACTCTTGTTTCCATGATGAAAGGTGGCCAGTGCATTATGTTGAATTGACTCCAGCAATTCAGTCATCAGATAAGGAGATGACAGGTTACATATATGTTTCCTTAATCTGTACAATATTAATAATATTATTCCAAGAACGTTCCAAGGTGCCTCTCTAGTTAATATGATGTATTATCAAATCAATGGACTCTATACTAACAATAAAAAGTCAAGATAAACGATAAAACAGTTTCAATGCTAGAAGTGTAAGATTTCTGAGAAAACATAGCTTACTTATGTTGAAAACAAACAAAAGTCCAGTGTACAGGGATACAATTTTTCAGAGATTGAATACACAATGGAAGCTGGTTAAGCCAGCAGGGATGGACAGGACGCTTTATCCGGTTTAAGAGGTGTCCGAGGGTAACCAAAATACCATTCCCTCCCAGCTTTGGAGCCCTCCAACGCCATATACAACAACAACAAAATTACACTTGTATATTGCCTTTCAAGTCAGGAGGACGTCCCAGGGCGCTGGGCAAACAGTGTTTTGCACCCGAGCTGGGATTTGGGATTGGGCAGGGTGGGGGTGGGGGGGGAGATGGATCACTGAAGGCATGGTTGAAAAGGAAGGTCTTGAGATGGGTCCTGAAGGAGGCAGGAAAGGGGGATGGGGGAAAGGCGGAGGGCCTGTGGGTTGGAGTTCCAGAGAGTGGGGGCAGAGTAGCTGAAGGCCTGCCTGCCTATGGTGGGGCGGGCGAGGTGGGGGATGTGAAGCAGGCCAGAGCCCACTCAGTGGAGGGAGCGAGCAGGATGGTAGGGGGTTAGGAGATCGCAGAGGTAAGGGGGAGCAAGACCATGGAGGGCTTGAAGGTAAGGACCAGGATCTTGAACTGTATCCTCTGTGTAAAATATGTAACAACTTGAAGCAATGTTAACTAACCAAACAGGACATCAAGTATTTTAACCTTGGAGTTAAAGTTAAAATCCTGTACTCTCACAGAATTCAGTAAAATATATGTATCTTTGTTTGGCTGTAAAATACCAACAGAGAAGCTTCCTCCTCCCATTGCCTCTATAAATGGAATCTTGTTGTTGTTGTTGTTGTTCCCATTGGACAGGAAGGGGACCAATTAGCGGTGGCGTTGAGGTGATTGACAACCTGCAGCCACTTGTGAATGGATGGGCTCCCTGTCAATCAATCGTGATATTCCCTCCCTTGTCTTTACCCATTCCTCCACCCACTCACTGATTTACAGTCCAACTCCAGCCGCTTGTGAATGGCTGGAGTCTGCTGTCAATCAATCTTAGACTCCTCCCATCTCCATTCCGGAGCCCCTTGTGGTTGAATGGACACACAGAAGGTCCGATTGAGTACAATCACCAGCAACCAGCGGAGTATTTTGCCCGGAGTAACCAGATTTTTGGTCCAAATCAACCACCATATTTAAAACAGGTAAGAATACAAATATTCAATTTGCAATAACAACAACAACTTGTACGTATGTAGCCCCCTCCACACAGGGAGCCTGACTCCGAGCTGGGGGGGGTGAAGGTGACCGTAAGTACGGTCGAAAACGAAGGTTTTCAGACGGTTCTTGAAAAAGGGGAGGGGGAGGCAAGGCAGTGGGATTGAGGGAGAGTGTTCCAGAGCCTCGGGGCTGAAAGTGCGACCTGCAATGGTAGAGTGGAGGGCACAAGGGACAAGCAGGAGGCCGGTACCAGTTGAGCGGAGGCTCAGGTCTCAAAAAACGGAGGTGGCGGAGTGGGGAGTGAGGAGGTCGGAGAGGTAGGGAGGTGCCACGGAGTGAATGGATTTGAACACAAGTGTGAGGATCTTGAAATCGATCTGTTCGTTGATGTGGAGCCTGATCAGAACTTGTGAGATGTAGGTATGGAGTTTGATTCAGGTCAGTATGTGGGTGGCAGAGTTCTGAATGAGCTGGATCTTTTGAATAGTGGAGTTGGGGAGACCGGCGAAGAGTAATCCAGACGGGAGCTGGACATTCGGAGTTAACCGGTGTCTGGCAAAAGGGGATTCCACTGTACATTGTCAGAAAAGATATGTCGATAGTAGTGGTGAGAATAAGACATTTATAATAATAATAGTTATAAGAACATTATAACCAGAACACATAATACTTCATGAAAACCTGGAGCTGAGAATTAGCTCATGGAGTGGTAAGACCTTACCTTGCATGCGAACGCAAAGGGCATTCTGATCAGGACTGTCCAATGAGATAGTTCCACACCTCTGAAAGAAAAAACAACAATTTTATTTCACATTATATATCTTTAAAATCCTTTTGTATGCATTTCCTTTGCAAGTTCACTTTTTAAAAATATTTTAAGAGCGGAATAAAATATTTTTTACCGCGAAGTTTAAAAACAAATGCATCTTTAAAAATAAGTGTAGATTCATCCATCAAATGTGTTCCGAGACGTTACACCGCATGAAGGCTGCTATATAGTTATAGTACAGAACTATACAGATTACGAAAATCCAGGATCTGTCTCTTATTTGCACATAGAGTGCTGATCTCAGCCAGATTGTTGGAAACACTAAAACTGGCTGGAGAATGGAGGAGAGAGAGGAAACTGCTAAGTCGTCCCTGTTTGATATGAACAGGACTGAGCTGAGCTGTGGTGCTTCTCCCATACATTCAAATATTCTGCCAGCACTCACTGTCTCAACTCATACATGATATAGAATATAAAATTACATTTCTATAGTGCCTTTCTCGTCAGGAGGACGTCCCAAGAGGCTGGACAGTCAGCGATTTGGACCTGAGCTGGGGGTCGGGATCGGGGAGGATGGAGGGCAGGGAGGGTAGCAGGGTGGCCGAAGGCTTAGTTAAAGAGGAGGGTTTTGAGGGAAGGAGTGAGGTGAAGGGACTGTGCGATAACTCACACAAGCCTATAGCATTAAAATATTATAATAACATCTTATTAAAGTACTGATATTAAAGTATAAAATCTTAATATAAAAATTACATATATTAAACAGGCATGATAACAGTTTGGTTGCTTATAGCTAGGAAAAAAGGTTACCTGTGCCTCATATAAGTATTTTGCACAGTTCTTTCTTAAAATGGGTACTATGTTGGTTAAAAATTAAATCAAACAATTTTTTCACACAATGCATTGTGAGAATGTAGTAGAAACTGCTACAGAAAACCATAGATCAAGAATCAAACTGGGTACAGTTGGAGAAGGCTCGACGGGGCAAATGGCCTCCTGTTCTCCAAGGCTTTTATTAAAGTTTAGCAGTATCCCAATAAATAGGATTTGAGTAAACGTATGTATTGGGATACTGCTAAAATCCTTTGACTTTTGCCAATACCCAACTGTATTCTTCTGCGTTTAGGAAAGTTGATTGTGACTCCCGCAAAGAGATTGCACCATCCAGAACTGGAAAATCTGAGTCTGAGTAGCTGGAATTGGAGGCTCATAACCACGTGAAGGGGTTTCCATATAAATAAGACTCCCACCTGACCAAATCAGACCAAACTGCCCCCCTACCCTACAAAACAGTCAACAGTGAACAGGTAAACTACTAGCATCAGTAGACATGTACTCAGCATGAGTCAGTTGCTCTCAAGAGGAAAAAAAACAAAAACTAAACTGTAATGAAAAAATATATAAATTGGTCCATTCATGTTCCCACAGTCTTTAGTGGTTAGAGATAGATATAACCCTTCACATTGTCCTTCCTTAATGCTTGATCAGATACTTCATATACTGTAACTGTTTCCTATATTCATGTTAAATATTACATGAACAACATGTAACAGCGCTTTTATTAAAAGCTGACAAATGGTTCATAAATCAGTAGGATTTAACATGTTACATAATTAAACCAGATTTTAATACTTCTGATAAAACAATTCTCACCTTATCCATATTGCAAGCAATATTTAGCAAATCACTTTGATCCTGCATTTAGACAGTTGTCAACATTTTGCTGTCATTTTGCAAAAAACCTTTGTTAATTAAAAATATTGACAGCCATCTTACATCATCTAATTTTCTGATTTAAATAAAACACACACTTGCGCACACAACCTTCTTACGAGGGACTGCTCGCAACTCATTATTAAGCACTAAGCACGTGAAGTAGAAAACGGAATGCGAATTAATTTCACAAAAGATTTAGTTTAGTTTCGTCACCTCTGCTAATAAGGTTGTGTCCTGAAACGACCCTGTATGGAGTTATTAATGTAGTTGTACCTCGATTATAATGGCTAATCAGACAGATCCTTAAACCCTCGACTCTCTGATTCAGCTCCCTGCTTCATATCCTTGTTGTTTTCTCTCAAGACCCTCCTCTTCGATCGTATTCTCAAGGCCCTCCTCTTTATCCGTGCTTTTGATCTCTCTGCTTCGCCCCCTGCTCTCCACCCTCCCCCACCCTGACCCCTCGGGTCCATAACTCTGTCTATCCAGCGCCTTGGGACGTCCTCCTGACGTGAAAGGTGCTTTACAAATGTAATTTTATTGTTTTGTGTTGATATGATTGTTACTGACCCACTTAAAATCTGTCACCCTTACACTCTTCCTGAAATTTGGTTACATTTCCTTTCAGAAATGTAAGCAGCTTCGTGAGGGTATGTTCGCATGCTTTTTCTTTTTTTTAAAAAAAGTTGCATTAGCTCTACGTTCAAAATAACTTGCCATTTCATTCATAAAAATATCACCGTTTAAGACAAGATTAATTATTCTGAAAGGTTCGAAAGGTTCAGAATAATTAGTTTATAACGATTTAATAAGACAAAGGCAATGCTGAAAACAATCAATAAGACCAAACACACAATTTCAATATACATTACACAAAAGTCTGGCACGTTTCTGAACAATGCAGGGTTAGATTTCTCTCTCCCTTTCCTGTAAGGGTCACATTTATTCTTTTGTAAAGCAGGGAGTCTGTCCTATTGTTCCCACGACTTACTCCACAGAATGAATGAGTATGAGTGAAAGGCTAACATTAATTGACTGGCAAAGAAATGGACCTTGAGTAGGGCTCTGATCTGAGTGAACGAGATGAAAGAAATCAGGACAACAGAAATGATAAAGCACTACACATATTTAAATACACATTTCAATACAGAACCACATTAGACAAAGGAAAATCAGAACTGGGGTTCTTTATAGCTCAGCATCTGTATCACGTGCTGAGCCACAGGGAGCAGGAGTGTCCTGGACTTGATCTTTCAGATAAGATCGTGGTTAGCATGCTATAATGGTCCAGCATGGTCAAACACCTCACTAACACAGTCCAGATTTATAGGAGAATAACCAGTTAGGTGAGATAATAATAATCTTTGCACATGATATAGAACCTCATTGTGTCTTCGAGGCATCTCAAATCACTTCACAGAACATACTGTAAAGTGAATTGACTGCATATCAATGCCCTCCTACCCCCTCTGCCCTTCATCATCCAAACCCTGCCCCCCACACTCGAGTCCCGATCCCTGACTGTTTAGCTCCTTGGAATGTCCTCCCGATGTGAAAGGCACTTTACAAATGTAATTTTGTTATTGATGTATATTTTGTGCGTGAAACGTGGCAATCAATTGTGCACAGCGGTGTCCCACAAACAGTGGTGGATTGAGTGACAACATTTTTTTTAAGGGATTATTCACTCCCTTCAAATGGTAGAGATAGCAGTTGGCTGCCAGCAATTGTGGACCAAACTCCATATGAGTTGTTACTGTCAAGAGAGGATGGTCTATGTGGAGTGTGATCCCATTAAAAAAAGCTTTTTGTGCCTAAACCTGTGACATAAATGTATTAAGGCTGTTTTAAAAGGCAGTGCAAAGGAGAGCAATATGATGATCTCCTTGCAAAGAGGAATGAGCTATTAGACAACCTAGGATTCTTCAGTCTTGCGGGAAAATGACTCAGAAAGGACCTCATAGAGCTGTGTAAAATTTCATGAAAAAACGTGATTGAAATAGTAAACCAGAACAATACTTTAGGTTGAAATGAGAGTAGAATAAGAGGACATAGGTTTAGAGCTGTTAAGGGCAATTTAGGACAGAAAGAAGGAATTGTTTTTTACCCAAAGGGTAATCAACTGGAACAGGTTGTCGGGAAACACAATACAAATACAAATTTCCACTTATACAGAGCTTTTCACATCATGAAGATGTCCCAAGGCATTGTACAGTCCAGAGTTTGCATCCGAGCTGGGATGGAGGTACGCAAGGTTGCAAAGATAGAGTGGGGCAAGACCATGGAGCGATTTAAAGACCTGATGAAGGACTCTGAACTCAGTTTGCTGGGGGATGGAAAGTTGAGCAAGGATAAGGGTGATAGACTCACAGAGCCAGGATACATGGTAGAAGCCAGGACACTGAACTCATTTCAAAAGCATCTTGATGTTGAGATGGGGGGATTGGTAGGGTGGGTATGCTGCAAGGATGAGATTGGAAGGGCATCCAAACCAAACTTGTCTGCACTGAGCTTATAAAACTGAAACTTGGAACGTGATTTTTTCTATTGTGCAGTGGCTATTTGTCAAGCTATTTAAATGGTACTTTTACAGAGTCAACAAGCCAACAGATTCAGGAATCACTGGTTTAGAGTATCAATATATGGGGATAAAAATAAGTAACAATCCTTGCATTTAATATGGCAATAAATAGAACTGCGAACACACTTAGGGATATCCTCCTGATGTAAAAGGTGCTATGTAAATGTAAATTGTATTGTATTATAATGTCATAATGTCTCAAAGCTGTTCACAAACAATTCCTGTCAATTGTAGACAAATGCAACAGCCACTTTGTACACAGTCCCACAAACAGCTACGAACAGCAATATATAGTTGTACAGCCAATCCATTGCCCAAGTCATGAATTCATAAGAAATCACAAATTAGTATTTAACAAGTCCTCCTCACTTAGCCTACTGGTTGAAAACAAACCTCATAGTCTCAATATGGGATGAAGACTAAAATATGACGACAGAGAGCTTTGAAGATTATACCACTACTGAACTGAAGCAAAGTGGGGACTTAATGTGAATCCAAACAACTGTACATGTTCTCGTTTTATGAACTGCAAACATATGTAATTACTAAGGGAGAGCTTCAACTTAAATGTAATTAACAAAGAGCAGAGCTCACACAACCCCTTTCCAAAAGCAAAGACTCCCACAGCAATTTATTGTATGTTCAGGTAAGTTCAAAATAATGAAAAGCAAGAAATTCTTCAATAATACGGTCAGCCGATATAAAACACAAAACAC